TGGATTAATATCTGTTTGGCTTTTGCTTATTGGTTTCAGAGAAAAAAAAAAGCATGGTTATGTAAGGGCCGTGAATCATCTTATTTTTTTTGCATTATTTCAGTAATAATGCATTGTATCATGCCATGTTTTATTCAGAGATAAGTATTTTAGTGTTAAAATGTATTCTCCAGTTACCTAATACTGGCATATGGTTTGCTACAGGGTGCTGCAGATGTACCAGTTGGTTTGCTGCAGGGTTCTGCAGATGTATCAGTTTAAGTTCTCAGTTTGGAAGTGTCAGGCTGAGGTGCAGAGACTTCGGCTCCGCAGGTTTGTAAGTCACTGAGCAGATTTGAGACCAGAAGGAGCTTTTTCCTCAGCTGGGGTGCTCTGGGATACCTCAACTGGTGAAGCCACCAGAATTGCTTCAATGCTAACAGGAGAGCTTGCCCAAAACTACATCTACAACCGAGTTTACTTTATGCCAGTTAGAGGCTTTTCAGAACCAACGAAAAGGCCATTACAAAACATTACTTTTTGTACCAATCGGTTTGCGTTGTTCATTACATTTCATTAACCAAATACCATCATTTCATTCAATTAATTGCTCTTCAGTGAAAAATCGTTACTATTGATATCGTCACTCTCAGTGATACAAGATGTCTCCCAGGGCATGTCTGATGAAGATATTCAGTTATGGAAATCAGCAGCACTGTAGCACCTAAAATTATTAAGAATTGTATAAACATGTACTGTTTTCCAGTGTTCCACATCTGGAAGCAAACTCCTAATGGGCTCTGTCAGTGAAAAAAATTGGTTGCAGCGCTTAGGCAGGGAGCAGGATCCAGCTGCCCGTTCAAGTCACAATATATATTTTTTCAAGACCATTCTGGGGTAAACGTGGCTGATCTGCAGTCTAGCAACACCGACTCCATCTCTCATCCTCTATTTATAGAGCTGCATGTAGAATTGCCACGGGACTGAGTCTCTGAACAAAATCACAGTCCCTGTTGAAGTACCTACTGACCACTGAGCCTCACGCTAAATTGATAGACTGCAGAGTCCTCTCTTTAGAGTGACAAAACCTGGCCGTGCCTTTTACCATTCTTGTGGATGGCTTCTGCACCTCCCCCGTAGGGCTACATACAGCAAAATGAATTAGAAGTAGGAAATCCTTTTTCAGTAAATTACTCGGCCTTCCCTCCTGTCAGTATTGCATGTGGAGTCTTCTGTGAAGTTGCACGGTTTTACTTGTTGAGTACAACATTGTTTTGGCAGTTAGAAAATCTTTTTCTGATACATAGTTGAGTCAAAAAGTCACACTAGCTGAAAATAACACAGTTAAACATAAAGGCAATATTTATTATTTCTATTGGTCCAAATGAGGTGCTAGTTTTTGGAATGGAGATGGACAACCAAATGTGGAACAGGGAAAGTATTGTTAGTTACTCAGCGTTCTCCGTGCTAGACAAGATGTGTGGTTAGACAGCCTCTGAGCTAAGAAGCTTGTAATTAAAGAGATGGTTAAACCTGGGTATTAATTTAGCTTCCCCAATGCATAAAAGGCAAAAGAAGTGGCATGGTAGCGTTTTCGTTTGGATCAGGAATGTGGTTGTGAAGTGAATCTCCCTCTCCTCTCCAATTACCAAGTGCTTTGGTTCTCACTGCGGCGCAGTCTCGGAGCTCTTGAACTGGATTCCTTTTGGTGACACTAGCCCGGACCCCCTGGATGTGCCCCAGGGCTACCCTTACACCAGACTTGAGGAAGTCTGAAGTGAAGCCCCCAGAAGAGCCAGAGCGTGGCCATCAGGTCTCCAGCACCAGCCCTTTGGCACAACAGTTCGGCTCCCTTACACTGTCCTCGTTATTAGCAGAAGCAGAGTCCTGCTCTTCCTATCTGCAGTGGCTTCCTAGGCATGCATTATTTGCTAGAAAACTTTGATTTTCCCAGTGATGAATAAAAAAAAAAAGTTCAGAGGAGAGCTCAGCTATTCTGAACAGTGCTTTTATGTGAGCTTATCCTCCATTTCTTATCCTATAAGGAGCATAGCTCATTTTCAGCCTTTCTTTTTTAAGAAGGAATCTTTCCCTCAGTGCAGCATCACTTGGGAAAGCGGCGATGGCAGCTGAGCTTTAGGAGGATGGATGCAAGGAAGATGCTAACAAGCAGTCGATGGCTTGTTGTGGATGGTGCGTTGCTACGCTGAGACGCAGATGAGGCACGTGCTCCGATGCGGGATCTGACAGCCCCGTTCTGAAGGACTCAGCTTAACAGTGCGTGTCAGGGGCTGAGGTTAATGGAAAAGAATTTGTTATTCAGGTCACTTAATGAAAATAACCTTGGGAGAGCTTTGCAGAGCCCTTGGGGTAAAATAATTTATTCCTCTTCTACTTCCAATGCAGTGATTTAACCCACGATGTAGAAAAAGCTGATGTGAGCATGAACATAACCCGTTGGAGCAGGGCAGGAGGAGCATCGGCAGCTACGATGCAGCGCTGTGAAGACCTGAGCTCCTCCGCTGCGACATGTGCGCTGCAGCCCCAGAGCAGAGGCTTCCTATAGACAGCCCCATCTCTAATGCTAGAGGGATTGATGATTAAGATGTAGTTTCCAAAGCACCATGCAGGGCAACACGTGCAAGATGTTCTTAGCTAATGTCTTTGGATGAACTAGTCATTGGAAAGACAGGGGCCACCGCGGCTCCGTGTGCACTGCCCCTGCTCCGGGCTTTCCCTGCTTCGTTTTGCAGCTCAGCTAGCATCAGAAATAAGCTGCAGTTCCTGCAGTTTGAGGCCTTAGCCTGGTCCATGTCCAGACCTTGGAGAACACCCGTTTTTCTCCGTGCCACCATTTCCCTTCGTAGCCTGCAATTAGAAGTGCTGGAAGCTATCCGAGAGGACAGCTTGATACCAAGAAAAGCTGAGTTCCACTTTTGGGGTGAGGGCTTGTGATATGTGCCAGAACAAGGATGGGAGATCACCTAGTAAATACCTTCAACTTGGTCCGAAGCCTTGGGATGAACACTTTGAAAGCCACAGGTCCAGATTAAGAGAGAGCCTCCAGACAAGAGGGCTAGTAGCAGATAACATTAGCCCTATCCTCACCTATAACATTACCACTTTTGTCTGCAAGGGCCTGTTTCATATTCTGAGCAACATGAATACCTCATCTGTGTAAAGCTGAAAATCCTTTTTACAGCTCTGGGTACAATAACTTCTGTAGAGAAAAACAAGATTAAACCTGACAGTAATAGGAGTGATAGAGGGGGAAGGTGTTCTTCCTTTGAGGCAGAGGCTCTGGATGCAGCAGCCAGCAGCTGACTATAAAAGGAGGAGAAGAAGATAAATGCAGTTATACAAGCATCAGAGATTAAGAAAGAGCTTCTAGGAGACAGAGAAAAGAGCAACCTGCACCTTTCTCTTGACATTTAGCAAACTGCCTGAACCAGCTAACCAAAGAAAGAAGGTCAAAGTCTCTACAAAGAGAGCTGCTTGCAGATGTTTGCTACTTGAGATCTTTAAAAAAAAAAAAAAAAAACTAATCTGGCTAAGAGATACTCAGCTCTCCACAGCAAAGCCTGACGATGGCAGGGCCTCACTGCAGGGACCGGCCCTGTTAGCAAACCTCTTTACACCAGTGCAGCTGCAGCTGCAGGATTAACCCCTCATCTGCTGCGTCCAAGGTAGCAGCCGTGCGTATGGCCACGAACACCCCGAGCCCCGGGACGTGGCCCTGCGGCGCGGGGACAGCATCACGGGGGGTGGCAGAGGCCCTGTCCTGTGGCAGCCATTGGGTTGTGCAGGGTTCTGTCACGCGGCTGTAGCCTGGGCATCTTTAGGACTGTAGCACTGTAGTCACTTAGCTCTGGGGCAGTCAGATTCACCGGCCCAAGGTTCAGCATCTCACAATTGCTCTTAGCTGTATCCTACAGAAGGGTTTCCAACGGGTTACTTCATGCTATTTTGCCGTTGCTTTCCTTTGGGATTTTTATGGACTGAGTAATGTTTCCTGTTGTTTGAACTCTTTGACAGCAGTTTCTGGGCGATGTCTTTGACATTTGCACGGGGGAGCGGGTCTGCTGTTCTCCAAACCCAGCAATCACCCCTTGAGCAGCAGGCTGCAGCTGCCAGGGCAGGAGCGGTGGGCACAGGCAGTACAGTGTGCTCGAGCAGTGATTAACACACAACAAAGAGAGCCGCCTGGGCTGCAAATGGAAACACACTGCGTGCTTGGGATGTAAGAGCATTTCGGTCTAATTTTGCACTCTGCATATAGTAATAAGCCGCAACAGGGTGTGCATTAAGCTCATCTTTTGAGAAGTGCAACAGTAGCTGAATAATGCACACCCCGTAGTGGCTTATTTGTAGTAGAGTATGGCTCATTAATTTTACATTTAATTTTTTTCAAACTCTTTAAAATAAAAACAAATCTATTCTGAGGGCAGTTATGTAATGTATCTTTCTACCAAAAAGTAACTTCAAGTACAAACAGTAGGGAAAAGGTGAGGAAGGGCTCAGCTCAACTACAACCCAGTGTTTCGTTTGGTTTGTCTAAATTCTGCTCTCAGAAGGTGTTTGGGCCACTAATGCAAATAAGCAGTGCAAATTATGACAATTATTGAAATCTATTCAGTTTTGACTTTTTTTCCTCTCTTTTTGTGTGCTCCCCTGGGCCTTTTGTCTTCCCTTTTTCTCACAGAATCCACCTTTCAGTATATGAACAAATATCCATTTTAGAGCAGCTTCCCATACACAGCACTGGCATGGAGTTGCCACCGAGTTCTACACCAAACTCTGCACTGCAGGGCAGCTCTCCCTGCTGGGAAGGTGGTCGGGTATGATGTGGGTGAAGATGGTTTTGCCCAAAGAGAAGTGTGTCTGTGCATGGATTCAACAGGAGCTAAGGAACAGACTAATTTTGTTAGAACATCACTGTACATGTATGAAGGAGGAACTCTTTTTTTTTTTTTCCCTGCTCTCCCAAATGAGATATTACTCTAGTTTATTCCTTTATATAGGTTCCAACCCTGATGATGGACACCCAGTTTTCAGAATTCACTCCAGATATCACCCCAATAATGCTGGCGGCTCACACCAACAACTATGAAATCATCAAACTGCTTGTCCAAAGACGGGTCACAATTCCACGGCCACACCAGATCCGATGCAACTGTGTGGAATGTGTCTCCAGTTCGGAGGTGGACAGCCTGAGGCATTCCCGGTCGAGGCTGAACATCTACAAAGCCTTAGCCAGCCCTTCTTTGATTGCCTTATCGAGCGAGGATCCCATCTTGACGGCTTTCCGACTGGGCTGGGAGCTGAAGGAGCTCAGCAAGGTGGAAAATGAGTTCAAGGCTGAATATGAAGAGCTTTCCCAGCAGTGCAAGCGTTTTGCTAAGGACCTTTTGGATCAGGCACGGAGTTCCCGAGAATTGGAGATCATTCTTAATCACAGAGATGATCAAAGCGAAGAGCTGGATCCCCAAAAATGTCATGATTTGGCAAAGCTAAAGGTAGCAATAAAGTATCACCAGAAAGAGGTAAGAGTCATCTGAACGCGAAGGTGTGTGAAAGTTGCATGTGTTGGGTAAAATGATTCACTTCTCTAGTTTCCATGGGTTTCTTTCTACGGAGGCAGGGTTGCTAGTGGAGTGCCAGCAGGGCTGGCTTGGGATAAAGTGGAGAACTAGTTGCAAAATGGTTAATCCAGCAAATCAGGAAATTCAGTGCACTTCAGTGACAGCTTGAGTTTAGTGACAAGTGAGGACAACCAGGACATGCCGCAGTGGGTTATGGCTTGTATGCCACCAACACTATATGTTTCAAAGGTGTTTGAATCCTGTTTCAGGATAACCCCTCCCTGTACAAAGAAAAACCTTCGGAGATTTCCAAGTTTGTTATCTCCAAAAGCTCTTCCCAGTAACTGCCAATATACAGGCCTAGAAGGGATTGTCTGGGCACATCTGTGCCTGCTGGAAACAATGCAATATACTCTTCACTTCCTCCAAACACTGCCTTGGACCCACTCAGCACAAATTCATGAGGGCTCCAGAAGCTAGAGCAGCACAAGAAGAAAGGAGGAGAGCTCAAGGGCATTCCCAGTGCCCCAACTCTCCATGCAAACAGTGGTTTTGTTGGGCAAAACTCAACTATCCTAGGAAGTGAACCGTCCCATGAAAATACCTCTTCATAGCTGAGACACCTCAGCTTAAGTCTTGCTCTTTCATTCATCCACATTTTAGGGACTCAGAAACAGCTCCCAGAAGTTCAAACTTCTGCCCACAGTACCAGAAAGGAAATAAATATTTCATCTGAAGGACAGAGCCTTTCAAAAGCCTCTCAAATCCAGAGATTTGCTAGTTGATGCAATGGGGCCTCGAACCCAAGGAGAATGCTGACAATAGTTTCATTAGTTGCCTCTGGCCTTTCTTTCTCTTTCCAAATCTGGACAGGGTTTAGTAGATTATATATTAATTGCTGCTGGCCAGTGATGTTCCCAGGTTATCTGAAGGAAGAGCTTAGTTTGCTTGGTGCAGGAAGTGAATTTCAATGTCTGTGACATATTTTTGTGTCCAGAGGGTGACAGGACTGGCAGAAAACCTACCAAATTATTCTCTTTTCATTGTCATTGCTACATCTGACCTTTTGCTTTCTGCATTGACCCAGATGAGATGAGCCTGATGTGATAAATTCCACCTCCCATGCAGGCTGCTCATGTCCCTTAAGGGAAACTCTCAAGAAGGGCTAGATGCAGATTTTCCTCTCTTCCCTTGGGTCTGTTGTGCCTCCTGCACACCATGATGCAGCAAGCTGGAGCCGAAGCCATAAGCTTCCCGGGATCTAGCATGTGCTCTTCTCTTGTGCCGGAGGATGCGGCTGGCACTGCTGTGTGTGGGTCGCTGCTGATTTCCACATCTTAGCACGGTTTGGGTTCACTAGTGACACCCAGGCACAGATCAGTGACTCCCCTCATCTTGTGTTTATATTAGGAGACTATAAGTGGAAGGAGTTCACTGTGTTTGAGCTGTAGTGCTGAACAGCACAGGAGCTCTTTCAGTGCAACAAATTTTGACTCTCTCTGTTTGGTTGCTTGACAGATTCCATCTCTCTTTTTTTGAGTCATGTTTGACTGAAGTCCAAATATCTGGACCAATGCCATTTTTTGTGACACATTCCTGACAGTTCCAGTGTATAAATCACAGCAAATGAGCACAAGTTCTGCGCTGCCAGATAAAGTCAGTGCTGTTTCCAGGTGGAAAGCTGGTGGGCAGCAAAGGAGTGAATGAGTTTGAGAAACCGACAGTGCTAAACTAGACTGCAACCTACCTGGTTATTCACAGGTACCTGATGAACACAGCACGTTGCTCACATGCAACAAAGTTTTGTAGTAGTTTTCTGATAATTAATCCAAAACAAAATGCCAAGCAAAAAACAAATATCATTGCCATCATTGAAAGAAAACGAGTAGGAACATTTGGTGGGAGACACTGAGAAATGCTTTTTAATCATGACTGAAAAATATGAGACTGGGAGAATATCTGTGGGGGACAAGAAGGAAAATGAGAACGAGTTGGTTTTTATAAAAGACACTTTTGCAGAGAAAAACAGCAGGCATTGCAGGGGTAGAGGTAGATCATCTTGTGTCTTTGAAGTAGTTTGTGTCTTAACATTGGGTGGGATTGCATTGGGTGAGATGCTTTTTATATCTTAACATTGACAAACTCACAAGTCAGATCTCCAGTAGCCTGACACGTAAATCTGTAGATGACCGTAGCTGTTTTTTGGGGCTCTGAATTGTTACCTTAGTTGGCCATTTCTGTATTCACCATAAAGAATGTGTAATCTCACATTGATTTTAGACAAATTGCTAGAGAAAGTGTCCTGCAGCTTTTGCTTTTTGAGTGAAATAAGCCTCAAAAATACCCCTCCAAAATAACTGATTCCATTTCAGCCTAATCAGGCAGATAACATTCATCGGGATTCTCCTAACGGAATTGTTAAGCGGGAAGCGGTACCAAGATCTTTGCCTTTGGATGGACACGTGGTACTGTCCACCCTCCCTGGGGAGGGAGCAGGTCTTTGAGTCACTCTTGATTTATACCAGCATAAGTGGGCTGGGAATCAGAGTACTCTTCAGCAGACACATCACTGAGTGTTTATTTCTCCAAGGCATTCAGATAAAACCAACTTGCCTTTTCTTGCTTTTCCTTTTTCCATTGCACTCCTGTATAGCAGAATAGCTGCCGTTTTGCTGCAGCTATAGGAGAGTAACAGCACTTAAATGCCTAGTGCAGGTTGATGGATGTCCAGCAGAGAGCCTACAGAAAAAAAGAGAACATAGAAAACGCCCTGATGGGAAAAGCTAGACACCCCTGGGCAGTTCTTGCTCCAAATGAACCCCCAGAGAAGGGGTCTTCAAAGCTAGTTAGGCTGCTAATATGCAGGTAAGGAGGCAATAAGATTTTAAACAAAGTACAATCAGGTTAAGTGCCTAAATCGTGTTGGAGATTAGACACTTACCTTGCTGAAATCCTACTGCTGAACTAGCTGCAGCTTTTGGTGCGTAGGAACTGGAGAAAAACCCTGGCTTTTGTGTTGAGTTTTAGCAAGCAGTTAGCAATGTGCCTCACAGTGAACACAACTGCCTTGTGTGCCGAAACACGCGAGCGGCACCGCCAGCCGCGTGCGTCTGCTCGTCCCTGCCCTTCGCCGAGGCCCGACACCCAGGCTGCCCTCGTCCCTCTGCAAGCAGGTTTACTTAGGAGGCATGAAGGATTTAGTAGTTGTGATCTGTGTTCGCGTGGCATTCATAAAATACTGGGGGAAAATGAAGGCACCTTTAGTACACTGTGAAACATGCCTTAGATCCAGCAGAGACGTGTCAGCCTTTTCCAGGTCTGCTTTCCAGGGAAATGAGCTGCGGATCGCTGAGGTTCATGTCCCGGGAGACAAGTGGGCTTTCCCATGAGGGCTCTGCAGGACCTGACATTTGCCTTCATCCTGCCTTTCTAATTTCTTTGTTCATAGCTAATTTTGGAAGGAGAAAGGTGCTGAAGACGTTCTACGAAAAGGCACACTCAGCTGCTAGGGCTCAGTCTTCACTATTTTGTGAAGACGAATGTGCTGTTCTGCAACAGATTAGCTCTGCATTTATTAAATTTGTTAATTTGTTGGGATTTCTAAGAAAAGACGGGGAGAAGTCATATATTCACAGCCACTTAAAGCACAGTTCTGTGTCCTGGGCACCGTACCCGTATTAGAGTCTGAGCTTGAGTTGAATACAGATATAATTTGTGCCCCTAAGTTTTTTTTTTTTTTTACATTGGCAAAATAATGTAAGATAACCATAATGTAGCTGTGAATCAAGTCTAATAGGGCAAATTTTACCTTACAGAGTAATTTAAAGTTGTGCAAGTCTATAAACATCCTTCTAAGCCACAATATTGCCAACATGTCCTCGTGCTGCTCCTGCACTGCTGCTCCCCATCAGAGGTTATTTGCATTTCCAAATGAAATGCAGTGTCCCAGGAGGGGTTTTTCAGTCCCTTTCATTTTCCTGGCATGGAGATGACTGTGCCCGTTCAGTCTATGTGGCTGCAAGAAACCCACACAGTGCAGACCCCTTGGAAGAAAAAAAGGACATTTTATCTGTGACTATATTGCTGGCGCTTTCACTGCATTAGATCAAAGGACTGTGTGAAATTCCCTCTCAGGAAGCTTAACCCCGGTCTCTGTCACTCACTGTAAGCCAAATCAGCGGCAGGAAAGGCAAGAGACTGGATTTTCTAATTCAGAGCCACTGCTCCTTGCTCTTTCCTCCTCAGAATGCAGCTTCAGAAGTTCTAGTTTGATTTTTCCGAGATATTTACATAGCCAAGGAGCTCCCGGGATACGGCTGGACGGCAGGAACAGTCACTGCTGCCATGCCTCATATTTTTCAGCTGTCTTGACTCTGTCAACTGCACGACTGCAGTTGGAAGCACAGCCTCATCCTCCGGGGAGCGAGCACAGACCCAGCGGGTTTCTGCGGGCACGTCGGCTAATGTATAAAAAAGAGCTTTTAAAATATCAAAGATGCATGAAAAATGGAGCATGGGGTCTGTGACAGTGCAAGCTCACCTGCTGCACCTCATTTACCTGTTTTGAGCCATTTAGGGTTCGTGAGGGACAGGCACAGATCGCTCTTTCCTTGCAGCTAGTGCAGAGCTTTCTGCCATGGTTTTGTCTGTTTTCTTGCCACAGAGCCTGGAGGTGCAGCGAGACCAGGTTCAATATTTTATTGTGCTCTTTAAAGGTCCAATTAAAGGCTGAGGAGCCTGCAGAGCTCTGGCAATTAATAAATAGGCTCTTACTTCCATTTTTCTAGAAGGAAATGGCATCATGTAATGAAAAGATCTTTCGTAGGCCTGGGCAGGGGGAGGAGGAGCTGTTCCTTGAGGATTTTTTCCCCTCCCTTCTAACCTGGAACATCTCCAGGAACAGGCTGTTGCATGGAGAGGATGGCATGATTACACCTCTTTAAATCCATCCTGTACCCCAA